TCCTTCCATATCAAATGCAACCCCAAATGGATGGTCTGTGACTGATAACAAGTAATATATTTTCATTTGATTTATTTTATATTATATATTTATTTTATATTTTTATTTAATTTTTATTTAATTTCATATGATCAAACTTCCAATTAATATTGAATTATTTTGTTTGTATGTATAATATATTAATGAATTTTATATCCTTTTCTTTTTATTATTAAGATTTACTATACCATTTAATTTTATTGCTAATATTGATATGAAATTTGTTATCGAATTTAATAATTTAAAGTAAACTTCACTCATCGATATTCTCTCTTCGATAATATCATTAATTGTATTAAAATGAATGAAAATATCATACGAAAATATTAGATAACCCAATTTAAAAACAAAGACACATAGAACGTATCAATTAAATTATCAAAGTGAATGTTTTAATTTAAAGAAAATTTGATGGTGGTAGTGATGATAGTAGTAAATTAAAATTTTTATCTCGCGTTATATTAAAACGTACGCGCGTGAAACAATATAAAAGAATTTCTTTCGATTAACCCAAAAATAGATGAAACGAATCGGCTAAAAATGACAATTGAAAGGTAAAATAAAGGGGCAAAAAAAAAAGAAAAAAGTAGGAAAAAGTTAAAATAAAATCCACGTATGCATTGACGTGGTGGTGGTTGCCATTGTGTTCGTGCAACGTGGCCCTCTTTAACGCAAAGTTACGTCGTGCAACTCGGCCATGATCTGCATTTTAGTATTAAAGGGAATGGTATGAAGCAAGAATCGTTGAAATTATATTATCGCATAATCGTGAAAGCCCATAATTATGTCAATAGCTTCGCGTAACGTTTCATTGCTATTATATAAACGTAATAACAAATTTTATATTTCTTCATTCGATTAACATTACTTTTATTTCATTTTCTTCTCCAACACTTTTTCTCTCTCTCTATATATTTTTCTGAATTTTTATTTGAAATAAAATTAACCCCTTGCGATTAAATAAAATGAAAAGAACCGATCTATATTCAACCTTTAACACGAATAAAGTATATATTTTATCTCTCTATCTGCGTTTACAATTTGTACACATGAATATTTTTCAGATTAGTAATTGAATTTTACATTGAAATGTAAAAATTGTACGTAACGATGAACACGAATACGTTGCTCGTAGAAAGTAGGAGGGAAAGTAATTAATCGATTATCTTGATTAATTATATTTGTTTACAAAAAAAACAACAACAATTATACGATTTAACTTCTATATTTGAAATATAATCAAATAAATGATATATAACTTCAAAAAATATTATCTAATCAAATCAAATCTCAAAGATCAATGATACAAATTAAACGATTGGCAAAAATAAATTTATTCTTTTTTTTTCTTCTTAAATAATAATAAATAAAAATACATTGGGGCATTGTATATAAAAAAGAAAGAAAGAAAAGAAAAAAAGTGTTCCATTTCGTTTTGCTTTTTTATTTTCCAGGGACAACAGCCACAAGCGGAGGACGAGAACACGCCGCAAAAAAGGGTCGACAAAATCTTCGATCAAATGGACAAGAATCATGACAATAAGCTTACCCTTGAAGAATTTCGAGAGGGTAGCAAAGCTGACCCACGGATTGTCCAAGCTTTATCATTGGGTGGCGAGTAACCGTACTGCTAAAAAGTTATTATAAGAAAGAGGACTGACGAGAATTCCTTCGATCTTTTAACTCCTCCTTGTGGGGGGGTCGAATGATTACGTCATCGTTCATTTGATTTATCTAAATCCATGGACAAAGAAAAGAAAAGAAAAAAAAAAGAAAGAAATAAAGAACAAACGTAGGAGTAATAAATAACTTACGAAAGAAAACAAAAACCATAAAAGAATAAAAAGAAAAGGGTGGGGGTTGTGGGGGGGTTGGAGGAAAAAATTATACGTCACGTCGCGTATCAGGATGATGATGATGATGATGATGATGATGATGGTGGAAAAAAGTGGATAAACGAAAATGAAAAATAAGAAAAAAATAAATAGAAATAAAGGAATGAGAAAGATAACGAAGTAAAACAAGGAGAAGGAGGGGGGGAGGAGGAGTTGGAAAATGGAGGAAGCAAAAATAAATTGGATAAAATAACTACGACCCAAATAATACAATATAAAATAAGAGGATGAAGATGTAAAGATAAAATAGATGAAAATGAAGAGAAACGTTAACAAATGAAATGGTGGAATATCATCCCTTCCCCTCCTCCTATCCAACCCTTTGAAAGATATTTTTATCAAGGATCATCCAGAGTTCGCGTATAATATTTTTCCCTATCCTCCGGCATTGTTTTAGCTTTGTCGATTGATACACGTTTGGGAAATCACAATGATGTATGTGACAACACATACGCGAGCATACGAGGAATAAAATAAAATAAAAAAAAATAATCAGAGTGTGTGTGTGTGTGTATGTGTGCATTGGAAAACAAATAAAAATATTATATAATACAAACAACAAACAAAAAAAACACAACAATCAAAAATGGATAAGTCGAATTATATTGAAAAAAAAAAAAAAAAAAAGAAAACGAAACAAATTTCCAATACGAAGATGAAGAACAATTATAATTCGTTAACCCTTTGGGTACATTTGACGTCTGAGACACGTCATTCACATTTTTCCCCTAGGAGCGAATGTGACGTGTATAAAACGTCAAACCAAAAAAATTAAACTCTTGGATACATTTGAGGTCTGAGAATCGTCATTCATTTGTTTTCTATTCACCATTTTGTTTGGCAACGATTACTTGAAGACATTTTAATACTACATATTTCATCAATATTTTAGAAATAAATCAATTCTTATATAAAATCTACTGCTTTTACATACTACTCGAAGCAAACAAAAATAATATCCCCAGTCCACATACAAATATTTTCTCTAACAAATCCGTACCCAAAGGGTTGGTTAATTAATTAATTGAACGTGAAAAATGATCATTTTCCGAATAAAAATTATTAACGAGGGAAGAGTATTACTTTCCTTTAATTCCATCTTCGTACGATTGACAACAAGGAAGGGGGGTGTGAGGAGGAGGAGAAGGGGCAAGGAAAGTTGGTTAAACCGCTTTTCTTCCTTCGTTTAATCGCGCGAACATGCCGAGCTAGCAGCTTATCAAATGAAAATGCGTGAAAGAAGGGAAATGAGAAGAGAAAATAAGTGAAAGGGATGTGGGGTGGGGGGGGGATGAAAAAAGTAAAAAAGAAAAAAAAGAAATAAGAAATGATAGAAAGAAGGAAGTGAGTAGGGGGGAGAAGGGTGAAGAGTGGTGAAACGGGGTTGGAAGAGAAGGGTAGGAAATATCGCGAATGTAAGGGAGGATTAGCTAGGTGAATCGGGGGTGGGGTAGAGGGTGGAACGGTGTGAGGAGAAGAGGGGGAAAGAGAAGGGGTTGCAAACCGTGCCTTCTCAATCGATCCTCGTCTTTATCGGTTATAACGTTTTCAACATTTCGTGGAATATGGCAAGTCGAACGAATACTTTCTTTAACTGGAATGGAAGTAAAAATAAAAAAAAGGTAAAACGAGAGGTAAAAATAGAACGAGAAAGAGAGAGAGAGAGAGAGAGAGAGAAAAGGGGGATTGAAAATAAGGGGTAGTTTGAAAAGGATACGAAAATAAAATCGAGAAAAAAAAAGAACAATTTCTAAGATTTACGTGTGGTGGGAATGGGGGGTGGCAACGAATTTTTCTTTTTTTCCATTTGCTTTTCTTTACGTTTGACTCTTTTTATTTTTCAAATTCGTGGATTTTCTCGTGGAATAAAAGTGAAAGAAAAATGGGTAGAAGGGTTTTTTTGGGGGGAAGGGGGAAGAAGGAACGTGTATAAAGAAAGTTTTTGAATTTTTGAAGAACGCGATGAATTGCTAACCCTCACACGTTCCTCTCTCGTCTGGTTTACATATTTTCTTTATCTTTATCTTCTTCTTCTTCTTCTTCTTTTTATTTCTTTTTTTTTTGTGTATACGTATTTATATCTACCAGGGTGAATAGAATGTTTGCTTTTGCTTATTTTTTCGAAGGGGGATGTTTTTTTGTTTTTCTTTAAATATCACGAAAAGGATCGTCAGTGGTGGTGGTGATGGTGGTGGTGGTGGTGGTTGTGGTGGTGAGTCCTGAAAAATTTCATTCTTATCTGCCAGTGGCATGCGGCATCCCATTTTGTTTTATTTAACACACACACGCTAAAACAATGATTATTTAATAATTAATTTAGTCAGCGATCAGTGCACGAATTTTTTCATACATATATATATA